ATATTTTAAGTAAGTATAATATATTTTATGAATGTTTTGAGTTATCACAATTTATTTTATATAATTTATGTTTTATGGTTAGGTTAATGTTTCAATTACGTAGATTATTTTCTGAATTTTATTTGTTTAAAATGAAACTCATTGATATGTTTGTTTAAATTTTAAAGAATATTTGACCATGATCTTGTAAACAATTATTTTCTGTAAGTGCCACCACAGGAGTCCCATGTCTTGAGGACTTAAATAACCATTGGCCTCCGTTTGACCACTTTGTAGTCCCCTGTTTGTCATGGATCCATTGACCCCTGTAGTGATTGTCACTTAGTGACCCCTGTTCTGTTCTGTTATATACCGTGGTTATAGTTAATTATTTCAGTTTCTGACACTTAATTAATTTGTGTATTCAACTCAAATTATATAAATGTTTTAGCTTAAATAATTATCTATTTTGTGCCCATATACTCACAGTATAATATTTCTCACTCTGCTATGTGTTTATAGCTGTTACCCCTTTCAGGTGACGAGGTTTAGCGAGATCAAGATGGAAAATGAATCGCTGTGCTGTTTTTTTTAAAATCTTTTTTCATCTATTTTGTTTTGAACTCTTGTAATATAATAAAGTTCAAATGACTATGTTTCGTTCCCTTTTAAATAAGAATTTGGTACTCAATTATTTTATTTAATTTATCCTCTTGCGCTGTGACTCTAAAATTATTTAAATTATTTTATTTTTATTTTGTTACAACGCCGAGCCTTTGAATACCGGATTTGGGTCGTGACACAATATTCTACTGAAATAATCAAATAATAAATGTACTTAATTTTATGAAAATTTTGATTAAGAATACATTAAATGAGATGAGTAACCTCTACTATTATAAAAGTTGAAAAGGTAACAAATATTCTCTATTAAAGATTTTTTTGTTTTTTCCAATAAGGGGAGTAAATTAACCTTCTTGTTTTTTTCTTTTGGGTTGCAATTTCCTCAATTTTACTTTTCATTTATTATTTTTTTACATCTACTTTTAAAACTCTTTCAATCAAACCTTTTTTTTCTCAATTAAAAGATGTAAAAAAATAAAAAAAAAATTAGATTCCAATACAAATATCAATTATAGAATCACACACAAAATATATATAAATGAATAAAATTTTATATGATTGGTTAGTGAGGTTCACTTTTAATATTTTTTTTTAATCTTACTATATATATATATATATATTATGTATCTACTTTTGTGAATTAATTCTATGTTCATAAACTTATTAATAACAAAAAGGCTAAATTACACTTTACTCCCTTTATGTTTAGCCGCTTTTTCAGTTTGGCCCCTAATTTTTTTTTTTCTACTTTGGCTCTTTATGTTGCAAGTTTTTCTTAATTTATTCCTAAAATTAACTTATGTTCAAAGTTAAATAGAAAATATCATAATAACTATCACTAACATAAAAAAAAAAAATATTATTATATTGGGATTTAAGTTTATGAAAGAAATGTGAGTTATATGGTGGTGTTTGGCAAGTGGGTTGGGGCTAAAATAGCCACAAAAGACAAAACAGGCTATTTTAGCCACAACAAACAAAACATCACATCCAACCCATAATCATTACACTCTTCTCTCACAAAAAAAAGCCAAAACGTCAAAAAGCCAAAAAGCCCTTCCCAAACCAAGCTTTTTAGCCCAGGCTAAAATAGCCAAAAAAGCCAAAAAGCCAAAAAGCCAACCCACTTCCCAAACGGAGGCTAAATATTTTTATACTACGTGATTGTCAATGTGTCATTTTTTGTCTAATTTTTAACAAAAATTAGTTTTAGGAGTAAAGTGGAAAAAACTTAAAACATGAGGGGTCAAAGTGAGAAAAAAATAAATTTTAAGGATCAAAATAAAAAAAATACCAAATATAAAAGGGTCAAAACGTAATTTACCCTAAAAAAAATACTAATGATAATCCTTTGAACCGTTTTTTTGTTTTTTAAAAGAAAAATTATATTATACTAGAGCTTTTGTACCGCAGTGGCACTTTTGTAAATAAAATGCATCTCGGTGAGTTTTAAATTTTAACATAATAGGTTGATAATTCAAAAACAATTTATGTAGTTAACGTTTTAACCTTATAAATAGTGCCTCATTCCCACTTTGTTATGGGGGCAAACAGTAAAATATGAAAGGGTTAAGAAAAAGAAGATAAAGTAAAATGTAGAAAATTGTAAAAAAATTATTTTGATAAAAAAAAGGGTATTTTAATCCCCATAAAAATAAATAAAAATTCTTTAAAAGCGTACATTAATTTCCTTTTAAGTTTTCTATATTAGTGGAAGTTACTCATTCATTTTTAATGCACATTAACGTTGTAATTTAATAGTTATTAGTTAAAAACCATATGGCACATGTGAGTTAGGCCTCTTTGAGTAGATGATTAAAAGTTATTTTTTGATATTTTAATTTATTTTGAATGTTAGTGTGTTTGGTTTGAGTTTTTTGAATTAAATTTTTTTAAAACTGAGTTTTTTGATTTTCGTATTTTTTTTGTTTTTAGTGAATGTTTTTAAAATTTTAAATATTTTTTTTACTTTTTTAGATGCACCTTACTTAGATGTATTTAAAAAGTAAAAAATTTGTGAAAAAATATTTTTAAAAATTAATAAATATATAAATATATAAAAATATAAAAAATGTATTGAATTCTCGCATTTTTTTTGTATTTTTGGTATTTAGTGAGTTTTTAAAATGTTTTTTTCAATTTTTTTCTTACTTTTTAGGTATATATATGTTAGGTATGTCTAAAAATTAAAAAAATTGTTCAAAATATTTTAAAAAATCAGTAAAAACAAAAAAACATGAAAAATAAGAAAGTAAAATTTTTTAAAAAGTATTTTTGAAAAATGATAATCAAGCATGCTAGTTTTTAACTTTTTACACGTTTTTTCAAAAAAAAAAAAATTTAAAAATTAGTTTTTAACCAATTTCTCAAAAGGATGAATTTTTTTTGGTATTTAGTGAGTTTTTAAAATGTTTTTTTCAATTTTTTTTTTTACTTTTTAGGTATATATATGTTAGGTATGTCTAAAAATTAAAAAAATTGTTCAAAATATTTTAAAAAATCAGTAAAAACAAAAAAACATGAAAAATAAGAAAGTAAAATTTTTTAAAAAGTATTTTTGAAAAATGATAATCAAGCATGCTAGTTTTTAACTTTTTACACGTTTTTTCAAAAAAAAAAAAATTTAAAAATTAGTTTTTAACCAATTTCTCAAAAGGATGAATTTGATTGAATAACATTTTTACTTTATTTTTTCAAATAAAATCATTGCTTAAAAAAGTTGATTTGATGTATTTTAAGTAAATTGGCATGTCTATTTTTGTTTTACTTTCCTAATTCTTTAGTGAATTTTATTCAAGATCTTTTAAATTTTTTTTACCTTATCCTAAATCATAACATGAAAATAAATTTTGGAAGAAATTATAAAAAAATCTCTAGTGTTTGAGCATTATGACAAAATAAACCCTACGTTTTAATTTTATTAATTTAAATTCTAATAGTTTGATTTATTTTTAATGCAAAACTATTTTTTTATTTTCATTAAATAAAACTATTTAAAAAATATATTTTAATCATTAAACTCAATGTAGTTTTACTGAAATGTCTAAAATACTAATATTTTTTTAATTTAATGACTAAAATATAATTTTTTTGATAAGTTTAGCGAAAATAGTCAAAAGATTTAGATTTAAAATAAATTAAGATCTAAATTCATAAAATTAAAAACTTATAATTTATTTTCTTATAAGGCTTAAATTTTGGATAAACGAAAAAAAAAACTCAAATTCTGATTATTATTATTTATTTATTTATTTATTTTTGTAATTTTAGCCTCTTTTTTTTTATTTTAATAAGAATGAAAACAGAGATGCACAATTGTTAGCTGAAACAATAAATCATTTCACTATTTTTAATTAAATTAGTATATAAAAATAAAAACAAAAAAAAGGTATAGACGAGTGCCAGTGAAGCATTATTACATCACGCGTGTTTGGCAAGTTGGGTTGGGGCTAAAATAGCCACAAAAGACAAAACAGGCTATTTTAGCCACAACAAACAAAACATCACATCCAACCCATAATCATTACACTCTTCTCTCACAAAAAAAATCAAAAAAGCCAAAAAGCCAAAAAGCCCTTCCCAAACCAAACTTTTTAGCCCAGGCTAAAATAGCCAAAAAAGCCAAAAAGCCAAAAAACAAAAAAAAAAAAAAAAAAAAGTTACAAAAGTATCAAACTATCCCATATACAAATAAAAAGTCAAAAAACATCATTTTATACTAAGAGTAATTTTGTCATTCTAAAGCCAAAAAATCAAAAAAGTCAAACAAGAATACCAAATGACTAAAAAAGTTAAAAAAGTCAAAAAATTAACTAAAAAAGCAATTGTTAAACAACTCCTAAAAATAATTCATCTATTGAATTTGGACTGCTAGACGACTAACATTATTCTTATCAATTATGATTGTTACTTCTGTTTGATATGTCAACCGGCATCTATCTCGATAATCGGTCAAACGACTGACATACATAAATTCATACAATTCATACAAATCTAAATGAGTAATGCTAGAGATCCCAAATATTCTACTAAAAGTTTTACTAAATATCTCACATGGGTGTGGGACCCACACAATGTGGGTCTCATGTGGGTCCCACACCCATGGGACACATTTGGTAAAATTTTTGGTAGAATTTTTGAGAGCTCTAGTGTTTTTGAATATAAACTCTACGTTAATAATTTCATATCAATAATTTTATCCTCATGACCCTTTAATCTTATCAAAAATGACCCTCAATTTGTTCATGCGTTGACTTTTTACGGATTTAGAAATGTCAATAAATGATAATTTTGACCTTTAACCAAGCTAAACATTCCAAAAATTACAAGCAAGTAAATATAGATTCTAGGCAGTAAAAATAGCTTCAAATTCCTTTATAAATAGCTTCCCAAAACATCCTAACGCTATCAAATTCCCTTCACTGCTCGGTGAAAAGTCTTTTCTTTCATTTGAATGGCCAACCACCGTGTCTTCCAAAGCCTCCGCTCCTTCACCCGACCTCTCGCCTCCACCTCCGCCTCCGCTACCTCTGCCGCCGTCTCCCCTCTCAATCTTACCCAAAACCCAAATCCAACCGCCACAGTTCTGAACTTTGACGATGTGAAGGAGCTGTTCTCGTCTGTGAAAACTACAAAACTGTTGAGATCATCGATTAATCTTCACGCGGCGGCGATAGAGCCGATGGTGGACCTGGGTATGTGGGCGATGAATTCGAAGATGATGAACATGGTGGTTTTGAGGGAGGTGATGTTGGGGGTAGTGAGGAGGACTTTTTTCGAGCATTTTTGCGCCGGGGAAACTCCGGCAGAGGCGGGGAAGAAGGCGGTGGAGCTTTGGGAGTCCGGCAGCCTTAGAGGGATGTTGAATTATGCGTTGGAGTATGCCAATGATAATGAATCTTGTGATCGGAATTTTGAATGTTTTCTTCAGACTGTTGAAGCTACCAAGTCTCTTCCTCGATCTTCTGTAAGGTTTACTTGACTTGAACACAAAATTTTTAAAAAAATGAAAACATTTGAGTAAATTGCACTTTTGATCCTCTAATCCTAAATCTTTACACTTCAACCCTTGTTTCAGGGTAGTCCTTCAAACACTTAGGCCTCGTTTGGGAACAGGCTAATTTAGTAACTTTTTGGCTATTTGGCTAAAAAGATAAGTAAAAAAAACTTGTATGTTTGGGATGACTTTTTGGCTAATTTGAAGCTACCAAGTCTCTTCCTCGATCTTCTGTAAGGTTTACTTGACTTGAACACAAAATTTTTAAAAAAATGAAAAAATTTGAGTAAATTGCACTTTTGATCCTCTAATCCTAAATCTTTACACTTCAACCCTTGTTTCAGGGTAGTCCTTCAAACACTTAGCATTAAAAAAATGAGAAGTTAGCACACAGTGGTATTTCTAAAAAATTACTATTATAAATTCATAGAAAAGATTATTGTTTTAATTTTAATATTTATAAAATTTACCGTTTACTTGTAATTATTTTTTAAATTTTAAATTGAGGTGAAATTTCCGCTTAAAAAAATGCACAAAAGGCTATTAAAAAAAATTAATCGTAGTTAATTATTGCAATTAAATGGTGTGAAACGAAAGTGATAAAAATTAAATGTATATTTTTACCTAAAAACTATTACAATGGTGTTTTATTATGATTCCCTTGTTTCTTCTTTGTTTCTATCTTCATTCTTTTCTCACTTTGCCTCTGTTTGGCAAGTTGGTTCTTGGACTTTTTTGGCTATTTTAGCCACAAAAGACAAAATAGGCTATTTTAGCCATAACAAACAAAACATCACATCCAACCCATAATCATTACATTCTTCTTTCACAAAAAAACTCAAAAAAGCCAAAAAGCCAAAAAGCCCTTCCCAAACCAAGCTTTTAAGCCCAGGCTAAAATAGCCAAAAAAGCCAAAAAGCCAAAAAGCCAACCCACTTCCCAAATTTGTATTTTGATGTTGTTTACGAATAAAATGTTTATGGGTAAATTAATTTAAGATTTAGAAAAAATATAACAAGTCTTACAATTTTAATAAGATTAAAAAGACTGAAACTATTTGAAATGGTATGAAAATAAAAAGAGAAACAAGATAAAATTAATATTTTAGTGTAAAAGTAATGGTAATAGTATTTTTTTAATTTATACAACTAACAAATTTTCGATAAAAATAGAGCCCGAGTTTTATATAATTTAAAACTTTAAAGGAGCTTAAAGGAGCCAAGATTTATTGTATTGTACAGATCTGAGGGAAGGTCAGCGTAATTTACCCAATATTTTATTGTTAGATCAAATTTAACGGCAAATATGAGTTACTATTTTAATAATGTTACACTTACCACTTTATTATACTACCTCATGTGTTAACTTAACATTAGTGTAATGGGTCTCACCACCACTCATGTTTATATCAAATGATATGGTAATACATGAGATGGTATATTAAAAATAGTATAATAATAAGGTGGTAACTATAACTTTACTCATACTATTCACTAAGCAAATCATAGATACCAAGAATTTAGTGATTTTTTTTTTCTTCATATTTTAAGTAAATAAGTATGTCTAAATTAAGTATTTTCAAAATAAAAATTGATCAAAATATTAGGAAACAAAAAAAATCACTAACAAAATGAAATTGACGTGAACAGGTAAGCTTTGTGATAGTGAAGGTAACTGCAATTTGCCCCCTAGCATTGCTCCAAAGAGTAAGCGATCTCCTAAGATGGGAATACATGAATCAATCCTTCCAACTTCCATGGAAACTCAAAACACTCCCAATCTTCTCCGATTCAAGCCCTTTTTACCACACGCCGCGAAAACCAAACCCTCTAACCCCAGAAGAAGAACAAGACCTCCAGTTAGCCCATCAAAGATTCCAAAAAATTTGCCAAAATTGCTCCAATGCCAGCGTCCCTCTAGTAATCGATGCGGAGGACACCTCTGTTCAACCTGCCATCGATTACTTCACCTACTCTGCTGCAATTGAGCACAACAGGGACGATGATCCAATTGTTTTTGGGACAATTCAAGCTTATAGGAAAGATGCAAAGGAGAGATTGTTTCGAGCTGCGAATGCCGCGGAGAAAATGGGAGTGCCAATGGGGATTAAGTTGGTGAGAGGAGCTTATATGGGGAGTGAGAGAGAATTAGCAGCTTCTTTGGGTGTTGAATCTCCAATTCATAATACAATTGATCAAACTCATGATTGCTTTAATGATTGTTCTTCTTACTTGATTGAGAAGGCTGCTGATGGCTCTGCTGCAGTGGTTTTGGCAACACATAATATTGAATCAGGTAAAACCAAAACAAATTTTTTTTTGGAATACAAAAATGGTGAAATGTTAAAAAATATCTATCTTTTAATATTTTTTATTTTGGAAAGACGGTTCTTGAAAATTCAAAAAACTAATTTTTGATCTGTTTAAAAAGAGTAAGTCATACAGGAAGTCCTTGAACTATGCACATTTTTCAATTGAGTCCCTAAACCAAATGTTCATTCAAATAAGCCTTCAAACTTCCCAAATTGTTTTCATCTAGCCATTTTATTACATTTATTTCACTTTTAGAAGGTCTATATAATGTATTTAATGGGAAAGTGTTGGACAAAATGTAACATAATTGCTACATTGGACCAATCTGTAAAGTTATAAGGCTTTATTAAAGGTTTTAGAGTACGTTTGATAATAGGTTAAAATAGTTTAAAAAGTCAAAAAAATCATAAAAGAAGTCAAACAATTTCTTTCCATTGTCTCTCTTTTTACATGTTATTGTTTAAAAAGTTAAAAAGTCACTTCCCAAACAAATCCTTACCTGAATGAAAATTTAGTTTAGGGGCAAAGTTCTCAAGAACTTTTGAAGAAGAGTGATTTAATATGTGATGTTGTGATAATTGTGGATATAGGAAACATGGCAGCAGCGAAAGCACGAGAGTTGCAGATTGGAAAGGAAAACCAAAGACTTCAATTTGCTCAACTATATGGAATGTCGGATTCGCTTTCATTTGGTTTGAGAAATGCAGGGTTTCAAGTCAGTAAGTATATGCCATTTGGACCTGTTGAGCTAATCATACCTTACCTTCTTAGGAGAGCTGAAGAGAACAGAGGACTCTTATCTGCATCAGCCCTTGACAGACAACTCTTGAGGTAAACTAGCCTATTCATGCAAAAGCACTTTTACAAAAATCTTCATTTTAATTGTGAGATTTTTTATTTTTATTATTTTATTTTATTTTATTTTTTGATTTGTTGTATATATATATATTTGTGATGGTTACAGGAAGGAGTTGAAGAGGAGACTAAAGGCTGCAATTCTCTAAGAGTGATATTCCAAGACATTCTTGGAGCCTTGTTTGTAGTCTTAGTTTGCAAATCATAGGATGATGTTTACATTGATTTGATCCTTACATTACTTGCCCCGTACAATTTGATGATATGTAACAATAGAAATGTTATGTCTACAACAAAAATATTAAAAAAAAAATTGTTCAATTTTCGAATCTAGAGTGTAAGCTTCTTATATTAATCAAATGTAGTCCCTTCGTTTAATTGTTATTTAAAGAACATACAAAAATGGTTACGCTAGTCTCATATCAAGCATTGAAAGGTATAAATGATATTTTAACACATCTATTTATGCCAAATACTATCAATTAAATAGCAAAACAAACGTTTGTAACTTGACTCTCAATAATGCAATGAAAAACTTTGATGTGTTTTGTTTTATGATAAATACTTTGCATTTCACGTGTCTTGCGTGTCTTGCAGTTCATTTAAGTGAGAAATGAGATAAATCTCCCTAAATATTTTTCATACGTTTTTAAGATGACAGTCAAGGTATGAGACTAAATTAAATTAATTTGCAAAGTTTAGAGATACAATTCATACAAATTAAGGATTAGAAACCAACAACTATTTTTGTATTTAATCTTAAATTTAAATCGGAATCTAATTTACACATTTTAAATTTTGAATATTTTTTTAAATACGAAACTACTGTTATTATAGATTTGAATGAGTAAAATTTTAGAACGTACAATCAATAACAGGTTACAATTTAATGTCAACTGAAAACTCAAGTCCAACTGGTAATTTTAATATTTTCTTCCTCAACTAACAAATTGACCATCTTTAACTTCTCCTAAACAAAAGGTCTATCTGATACAAAATAAATTACAAAACACCCATTCTTGCGTGTGAGTATTTCATAGGAGTGATTTAATTTTATATTTTTAATATTTTTTTTCATATGTTGAAATTCATTGAAAATTAACAAAATAGAAAATTTTAAAAATAGAACATCTCGTTTCCCATGCCTTTGGATAGTATAATTATTATGTGATATAACCTATTATATATTTCCTCTACAAGGATAATAGGTGATGCTTGGATGTTGTGGAAACAAATCTTGTTGTACACATTTTAATATTTAAAGGTTTTGTTCTCTTTTAAGGGTGTTTTGAGAGATGGTTAAAAGTTGACTTTTGACTTTTAATCAAGCTTTTTGAGTTTTTTAGAAAGTGATTTCGGAAGTTAGTAAAAAGTGATTTTTTTACTTTCTATTTTTTTTTTGTTAATATTTGTTTATGATGTTATGTCACCATGTCATAATATAAAAAGACCAAAATACCCCTTCCCTATTGTGTAATTACAAATTTTCACCATCCTCTCAATCTCTAGCTCCTAAAAATAATGGAGGGTATATTTGTAAATTTCTATGCCGCATTTTACTAGCCTCCCAAACGGATTCCTGCACAAAATAGCCACATTTGGCTTTTTGAACAAACGCCCAAACGCTACTTATAACCACATTCCCAAAAGGAGTCTAACTAAACAAGATTTGGATTAGTGCAGACAACCTACGAGTTGGGCACTCATTATCAAACATATTATAATTTATTGGAGGATTATATTTGATAATATTATAAACAAATTAAATTAATATTATACATGATTGTGGTATGAATCCAGTCAAATTAAACAAATTAACACAATGGTTGTGTTTAAATTTTGGATTTAGATAGAGATTTATAGAAGAAAATGTAAATTAAATTTTTTATTTTATTCTATTTTATCCCTTTTGTTTTATAAATCTCTTTTCAAATTGTAAATTCTAACATAGATTAGTGAGAGTTATCCCAATCAAACAAAGACAATCACTTCATGGTGTCGTGCCCATTTTAATTTTGAATTATTACAAAGTTGTTTCATAATTTTTAATTGAAAGTAAGATTCGGCACAATAGATAAGATTGAAAATAAATCGAATCAAGTCAACAAGATGATTATTTAAATTTGAACAAGTTTCAAAATATATTTAAATTTAATTTATTTATATATCCCGACATTTTTTCATCCTAAAAAGAGGGCTATTTCCAAGAAGATTTGTGGATCAATAAAGGGATCTCATTGGTGGAAATACATCTGTTTTTCAAATTATTGTGTTTAGAAACTGACGGCTACATTACCTGACCTGTACGCAAGTGAGGCATGGATTCGTTTATTTATTTAATTTACCCCCCAAAAACAAGAAAAGGAAAACAATTATTGGCTGGATTTGAACAAGCAAATTGAGCAAAAGGTCACCATAAGCTCCATAACTTGTCTGGATAGCTTTTTTTATTTTGATTGTACAACTGTCCCAACTGTAATTTAAAAATTAAAATTGAAAAAAAAAAAAGACAAGGAAAAAACAAAACTAGACTGTGAATTAGATCAAGACAACTTGTATGCATTAAAACCACAAATTTGTCATCAAGAAATGGACCAAAAAGACTTGGAGAATATGCTGGAAAGCAGAGTATGAGTTTGGCTAGAAGTTGAAGAATCAATGGGTGTCAACGTCACACCACCACACTACGCAATTTGGGAGACCCAATTAACTGGTGTGTTTAGTCAGGTTTCCAATGCTATTGCTGATTTGGAAGGTGGGAATGGGAACACACACCCATTTTGGAAAATGACATGTACTTGTGAGGAGTAGTCATCCTCTGATAGAATCTAAATTTTCTAGGGAAATTATAGTGGGCAAAAAAATCTCAATCAAGATTTGATTCATACCAAAATAGAACAAAATTCTTGATCGTTGAATATCAAGAATAAAATAAAATGAAAGGTCAATAGTAAACGGTATATCACTAAACAACTCTAATTGATGTTTTGGAGGCAAACAAAATTGTTTTGAGAACTACAGACGTTGGAATGACGGCAAGATCATTTCCAAAAGAATATTTTATGGGTAGAGAAAATGGAATGATCAAATTCAACATTATAAAAGGGGTCACAAGAATAAAACAAAAGTACAGACAATCTCTTCTCTACAAGAAAATAAAGAAATAGTTCATGTTCCTTGTTTTGCTAAGAAAAACATTACACATACTCAACTATCGGAGACCCTTCAGGCCAAACACCCTCCATAGGGCAACTCTTACAGTTGTGTTCTTTTGCAAGAGCTCAAAGGCTCTTAATAAATCATTTTGTTCTCTACAATGTGAGGAAATTTTACACTCCGCAAATATCATGTAGAGTCAAAGGTAAGTTTTTTTAGCAGTGGATAGTTACACAAGAAGGGGGGGGATCCCGGGGGGGGGTTGGAAGAAGAAAGAAAAAGGGGAAATGCAAGTGTGAAATGATCACCATCTCCGCCCACCTAACAAAGTTGTGATTCCACGTTGGAATCCAAAGTTTAACAAGATTCAGCGTGATTTGCAAATACAAGTAAAGATGCTTCCCCACTCAATTTTGAAAACATGGAAAAAGCCCCAAAAGGTGGATTTGGTATACCTTTTGTTTTCTATTCTTGAAAATCATGCTTTCTCCTTAAATATTTCTTATCTTACATGAGATTCGGAATATTCTCACACTCCATGCCATGGCACCTTTCGACATAGCCCAATGAAAAAGGACCACTCGACAAAAATTCAAGAATTGATTGTTATACTTAGAAATGACACATTCTTGATATATAAAATAAACACAGCTGCAATCATCAAAGGGAAAAGTCCCACAAAACAAAACATCAATGTAACATTTCCTTTTGTTCTAAGCAAGTTTAACTCAAAATATGTCAATTTAAATATTTCAAAAATGGCACCGCAAAAAAGAAGAAAATACTCATCAGCTTAGAGTTTGATAGCCCAGGGGACTTTGAATTCCTCCATCCTGTCTCGTGTAATTCCTGCTCGTCAGAGATGGCATCCATGGGAACAGTTTCCCAAGTTTCTTGCTTAATATGGCTGCAGGTCTAGGTTCCCAATCATTGATCCCAAATTTCGCCCTTTCAATAGCTTCCATTATGTCTTCCCTTGACACGCATTCGCCGCCTAAGAAATCCACAAGACACTAGAGTGAGTAAATTACTTTTTTAGAACAAACATTAACAATTTACATAAAAACTTTAAAGAAGAAAAGAAAAGAAAAGGAAAGGAAAAAGACCCAAGAATCAGAAAACAAAAAGGGGGGCATGGAAGGCTTTAATTGTTGTGAGGTGTCTTTCATTTTTTATTACGCACTCAGATTTATTGTTAGTGGTCTTTCAAGGAGGTTGAGAGCTGAGGCTGGAGTGTGTTATTTTCGATTAGGGTTGTAAAGTGGTTGAGTTGAGAGACTCAGAGAGCTCTGTAATTGTTAAGTCACATAGTGGATTTGATCTCCTCCCCTCCGTGGACATAGGCACATTGCCAAACCATGTATATCTTGTGCTTTGTGTGTAATTTGTTTCTTTTTATTCATTTTGTGGTTGGAACCATTTGCTAGTGAACCACGGGTGAGATTGCAACCATTTTAAGCAACATCAACAGATTACTTAGTTGGTAATACAATAGATTTCAAACTGACCTCTGCGGGCAGCAAGTAAAGCGGCTTCATTGATGATGTTTGCAAGATCAGCACCGACAAAGCCTGGGGTAAGAGATGCAACTAGGTTGCAGATAAGACCGCTATCTTCCTCAAGAGGTACTCCTCTCAAATGTACAGCCAAAATTTTTCTCCTCCCGTCTTCATCTGGTTCACCCACAAATACTTTTCTTGAGAAGCGTCCAGGCCGACATAGAGCTGGATCCAATGCTTCTGGTCTATTAGTTGCAGCAATAACAACCACCTTCATGTCCGAGTCAAAGCCATCCATTTCTGTCAGCAACTATCAAGGCAAAAAGAGAGCAGTGAGAGCTAGTTAAAGACGAGAAGATTTTGTAAAACATTCTAACACATTAAGAATTTGGGAATTCATCAAATTAAAAATAATTCGAGAGGTTCAAGAAGTATCAAGAAAATATTGTGAACAAGAAAAGCTAGTGATCAGAAAATATAAATTAGAAATACACTTTTGGTGGTGGAAATGTTTCAACACAAGCATTTTTCAATTAATTAAAATTTAAAAGAGGTTGATATACTTGGGCATTTTGACTTTTAAAAAGCCAATGTGTTTGGGAATTGCTAGAAAAGTAGTTTTTTTTTTTTTTGTTAGTGGGAAAAATAGACTTAGCTTTTTTAGATCTTCCCAAACATGCTTTTACTTTTTGATGAGTCCAGATCATCTATCCCCTTCTATGCACCCTTCTCTGTCCCCTTGAATCTGATAACAGTTAACAACACCACCTTTGATGATATGGACAACTCAATGAACCAATAAAATGAAGAGGACATAGAAGGGAGCATAGAAGGGAATAGGACATCTTGATTCCTTTTTGACTTCCTTAGCCAGAAAATAGCTTTTTTTAGATGATCCCAAACAGGGCCTAACAATATGATGCATCTGAATTAGAAAGTTTAGTTACCTGGTTTAGCGTTTGGTCTCGTTCATCATTGAAACTTCTACCACGCTTTCCTCCAACAGCGTCAAGCTCATCAATGAAAACAATTGACGGTGAGCTCTTCCTTGCCACATTAAAAAGGTCTCTAATGCGAGCCGCCCCTCTTCCAACAAAAAGCTCCACAAATTCACTGGCAGAAACAGTGAAAAATGGTACTCCTGCTTCACCAGCCACTGCACGGGCTAGTAATGTTTTTCCTGTCCCCGGAGGACCCACCAGTAGCACACCTCGGGGTAATTTCGCTCCCAGTTTATTGTAGTTTATAGATCCTTGCAGGCATGAAACTATCTATAAATAAGAAAAATGCAACAGCACCTAGTCAAAAGAAAGATTAAAGAGAATGTAAGGAATTTGAAACTGTAATAGGATACAACTAAAATGTAATCTTCCAAATATCCCCAGCAAGCTAAAACAATAGTATGCAAAATCAAAAACTCTCACCCACATTAAAAAATATGACGACAGTGAGTTCATAAATTAAACAAATAAGAATGAAAAAGCTTGTGAGGATAGCTACTTTACTCTAAAGCAATATACTTCAACACCCAGAAAGCACTTTGGTTTATAAAGAATAGTGGAGTGGACTACACTGGTTATATGCTTGCCACATAAATCTCAACAAACACAAATCTTCAACCAGACTCAAATCAACTTTGACAAATCTGCAACAATATTTTAGATAAATAATACAACAAGCCCCAGTATGGTTTATGAAGTATCGGTGGCAAGAAGCTTCCTAAAAGCTAATCCTGTAAATGCATGAGATAGATAGACAGAATGACTGCACTTTGGACACAAAAGCCTGCTGGGTGGCTTCTAGGTGCAGATAAAACTTCACATTACCATATATTTAGATACAAATTATTGTGGTTACAACTAATCACAATCTTACTAACGGTCTAATAATCCCTAACTTAGCCAATGCATTCTAAATAAAGTTTAAAAATAAGCGAATTACTTCAAGATGCAAATGGAGGTGCATTATGCATCCCACCTCAAAAGATTCTACTAGTATTTATCTTCGTGTGTTCGTAAAAGAACAGATTTTTACATCTTCCATTTCAGAATGCAGCCTAAAGTTGTGTTCGTAAAAGAACGGCATGAAACTCGGATTCAACAAAAGAATAAAAACCATAGCTATGAGGCTTAACAGACAGAGAAAGTAGGATCCCATGATAGGTTATTTGCTTGCACAGAGACCCACAAACTCAAACACATTGGTACATGTACCGGTCAATATGGTAAATTAAACTCACACATTTACAGCTGTGCCCTCACATTTCAAGATTTCAAGGAATTGTTTACTGCAGATTCTATGTCTGTGTTGACTTATAGAAACATGACCAAAAACATTAAAATTAAGCCCAATAATCTGATGACTAGGCCTGAACCCTCTCCCTGTAAAACCAACATATTTGAACGTCAAAACGGTTACCATTATCAACGTCACACTTGAGTTCATGAACCATAATTTACATAACATTATCATGTAAACTTCATGCATTACATTATACAAACTTTAAGAGCAGATCACCTGTTGCCAACCAATTCTGGTATTAAGTAAAAAACTCAAATATTTTCATGTAGTGCACCAATTTTGTTGCCAATAACGCTTTCTATCTTCCAAGACCCTCCTGAAGGCTTTTTGCAGCATTTGCCAAAAAAATAAATAAATAAATTTGGAGAAAAATTGAATCTTTGTTACTTATGAGGTTCATGTAAGGGGGTGCTGGTCTATGTTGACTCATTCAAACATGTACTTTCTATGGGAATTGAAATACTCTTTATCCACTAAGCGATGTTGTAATGCGTACAATTGCTTCATGCTTAGCTTTACTAAGCCTTTCATTTAAAGTGACACACTAACTAATACAATTTCACATGAACTAGAAAGGGAAACTTGTTTTTGCAACAAGAAGCCTTGTTCTTCCTTTTCCTTTTCTGCTAAGCGCTACATGCAACTAATTATTGCAGCTTTTGAATTTATTCACAATCCTTCCTTTTCAGCTATGCAGGGTTTTAAAAAGCGCGCTTAGGCGCGCGCCTAAGCTCGAGGCGCAATGAGGCGCAGCCTTGCACCTCGAACAGGTCGAGGCGAGGCGCAGCTTAGGCGCTGAGGCGAGGGCTTTTTTTCGAGGCGCGAGGCGCGGGCTTCATGGGCTTTACTTTTTTTTTTTTTTTTTTTTTTTTTTTAAAAAAAAAAAAAAAAAGGTTTTTTTTTGGGGGGGGTCTTTTAATGTATTTTTTGAAAACAGAAAACAAAAAACAAAAATTTAATAAATCATTTTGTCGAAAGTAGAGTATGATGAATAATTAGAGAGGTGGATTTATGGATTATGATTTTGATTGTAGGATAAGGACAAGTTAGAAAAGGTAATTTGGGCAAAGTTAAAGGAGAGAATAGCTCGTCCAGAGGAAAAGAAAGGGGACTTCCTTGATCAAGCAGTGAAAGACTTGAACACTGACTTCTTCTTGACAGAGAATTTCGTCGTATCAGTCATTGTTGGAGCTTTGTTTGCAACTGTCGAGACAATATCCACCTCCATAACACTATCTTTCAAGTTATTTGAAGATCACCGTTGAGAGGTGGAGGATCTAGTGGTATAAATGAAATCAACAACCCAACCCAACATTATTCACACTAATATTTTTCTAATCTAATTACTACTAATCAATGTTGATTATTGTTTTAGGCTGAGCATGACATTATTCTAAAAAATAGAGAGGACAAGAAATCTCTGCTGACTTGGGACGAATATAAATCCATGACTGTTACCATGCATGTGAGTTTCACACTCTAAACTCTCTCTCTCTCTCTATATATATATATATATATCCCTTTTGGAAACTAAATGACGGTGAAATGTGAATAAAATATACCCATATTTTACCTAGTTTCACACACCTTTTCCCTTTTCCTTTTCAAATCCCTAGCCAAATTCTTGAACCAAACACAGCCTAAAAGTATTGGATCCCTTATCTTGCTAATAGTGGAAGTAGTAAATAATGATGGCTAGTTGTTTGTTCAGGGCTTTGTAGCCTTTCCAAAAGTGTTACTGTAATGACCAGCAGAGAAAATGCATTGCACAAAAACAAACTTTATCCCAAGCAAAAACTCACATTCAAGCTGCACACTCAGTAATATAAATGATTTGCTGGCAAAATGAAACTCGAGAAATTCATCTACTTGATGTAAGGTCATGGAATAAAGATAGCTTACCTCCATAAGCTCTACCTTGGCAGTATCAACGCCCTCCACATCCTCAAAGCTAACCATCTGGTTAATAGGTCGCCGTTTTCTTGCCGGGCTATTAGCAGCAGAAAGTTGCCGATAAAGAAGCCACATTAACGGAGTTAAGGGAATCCATAAAGATAATACAGTAATCAAGATACTTCTCATCGACATAAGCAATGATTGAGGGGCAGAGCTGTATGTAGTTCCCTTTTCTCTCATTAAACTTAGAAGATAGCTCTCATCATGGTCTATCTTTCTTGTAGAGTATTTCCACAGAGGGGTTGAAGCTTGAGTCCTCGTCAATTTTTTCAACATATTTGAACCTGTTATTCCGCCGTTTCTCACAAAATCATCACTGCTTTCAGCTGTGTCAACCACATTCTCATCCTGAACATTGCTTTCTAAGGATTTATCTTCTGATATTTGAGTTTTCTCAACACTCAACGAATCGGTGTTGTAATATATACGACGCGATCCCTCCTCAAATAGAACCTTTGTTACAATCCCATTTTGAAGACTCATTATCAAGTCTGAATAAGGGACAACTTTCGGAGATGGCATTGCTGTTAATTTCAAAAGCAAATAACACATCCCCAAGGCAACAGAAATTGAAGTAGAAACTGTCACACTTTTCAAATTCTTACGCAGAAACATCCCAAGGTCATTCAATATCGACCAAATCGAAACTCTTTTCAATCTCATCGACAGCAATCTCAGCCTTGGCCGTAATCTTAATGAAAATCTCTTTCTTATACCAGCATTTTCTCTCCTTCCCAATTGGGTATCTTTATCTTCACAGTTTTCATTGATCACAGACCTAATTTTTGTGTTGCAAAGCAACCTATGTGGAGATTTATAACAGCTATGAAACCCTAATAAATGAAAAGAAGCTGAACTATAGCTAGAACTAGATAACGAACAACTGAGAATTCTACTTCTCCCTAAAGATTGAGACTTTCCAGCATGAATTCCCAATTTTTTTTGAGTTACTAAGAACCCATTATTTGAAAAAAGAATAAACGAAGAACCCATTTTCAATTAAAAATCTTCCATGAAACCCAGAAAGAATTAAAGCCCAATATCAGATTTTCTTCGAGAAAACACTTGCAAAAGCTGCGATACAACTACGAAATTGAATAGCTTTCTCGGGGACAATAACGGCAATACCTGAATTGATCGACTTGGCAGTGGAAACAGAAGCTGGTGTTCTTGAACTAGAAGATGATAACAGGATTGGGTCTTTGGGGAGGTTTTTCAATGTTTAGGGTTGTCAGGGCTTTATATCCACACAAATAAAAGCCATGGATGAGACTCTGTGACTGTCAGGGTCTTATGTGCAACAAATTTTCTTGGGGTGGGGAAATTTTGGTATTTCTTAGAAAATAGATGTTTGGGCCATTTGGCTATTGGGCTATTGATTTGGGCAGGATGGAAAGTGACAAATGGATCCAATTTATTGGAGTACTTTTTTTTTTTTTAAATATAATTTTTCAATGAAATTAAGAAGAAAAAACAAAAACAAAAATACAATTAGTTTAATAATAAAATTAGGAACAAAACTCACCTGATTTTTTACTCTTCTAAAGATAAAAAAAATAAAAATAAAAAGAAGAGAGGAGAAATTTAATGATTTATTAACCTTACTCACCCAATTGACCTTTTTCAATATTAGTTCTTTCAATTTGTTTATTTTAATGTATAGATGCAAATTTTTCTTGTTAATTTAGTGAATTTGCAAAGTCTAATTATGAGATTTTCAATTGTTTATTTTGATACCAATTTGTGTTTCATCACTACAAAGACTTTATATCAACTTGAACGTCTCAATTAGTGGAATGGAATGGAGTGTATCTATTAATCTATTTCTTGACTCAAAATAAGAGCATATTTAAAAAAAATTATAAAAAGAGATATATAAAATACACTTAATTATGATGAATTATATTAGTTTAATACATTATTGTCAATATACAATATGAATTTTTTGAAAAAAAAAATAGTGAACTTAAATCAAATTTTAATTATGATAAAATTCTTAACTTTATTTACTAGTAATTGTACTTTGAAATTTCACTGCTTAGTGCTAATCTTTATCTGTTTTTAAAAATTACCTTGTTAATTTTGTGATAAGGGTTTGAATTTGTGAAATGTTTATTTTCACATTATGTTTTATTAGGGGTTGTTTGGGATGATCTAAATAAATGAACTTTTTGACTTTTTATGAAATATGAGTTGGGTTTGGGTTGGGTTTGAAATGATGTGTTAAAGAGGTGATGTGACTTAAATAAGATGATCTGACTTAAATAGGATCTTTTTCAAAAACTTGCGAAACTTAGCCTTAATTGTCTCTAAAATGACATTGATTTGGGCTGAATTTTGACATTTCTTTGAACTTTATCTTGTCCCAAAGCATACCTTTTCAACTTCCAAATTTTCCCGAGAAAGAAAGCCAAATACCTCAAATTTTCCTTCGTCGGAAAATCATCCTTCTTTACTCTCGCCTGGAAGATCACCACCACCACCCTCACTCTCAGGTTCGTTCTTCTGTTTCCTTTTCAGTTTCGATCTTTCTTTAGCTGTTAACTGTTGTACAAGATATCTGAATCCCTACCTTCCCTTTCTCTCTCTCTCTCTCTCTCTCTCTCTCTACAAATTCACAATTATAGAACAATCCCATTACACCTTCATTCAAAATGTTCATGGGTTTTAATAATCACTGTTGCAAGATGATCAAGCTGATTTATCATTTATCATCCTCTCTCTGTCTCCTGCTTTTCTTGATGTCGATGATGTAAATGTTAACTGTTATTTTCTTAAATTTAAGGGTTTTTGAATTGCATCTAATTGTCTGTGCACATCTTTATCATTTCTCACTGCACATATTTATGAATTTGATTAGGTATTATTTATCTCAGTGCACACACCGCATATTTCAATTATAACCGTTAACTCAATTATTGTACACACACATTCCATCCAAACACATACCCACACAGCCATCAAAAACCAGCTAAACTAAAGCATATTACTTCCCACAAAAACATTTTCTGCTTAAAAAGATTTTGCAGAAAGGTGGTCGGTGAACTTGCTATCACACTTAGATTCTGAACTCGTGATTCATAGCAAACCCAGCAGGTTAACTTTTAACGTGTAACAAAATTCATCAAGGCATCTTGTCAAACAAGTTATGCACATAGGTCTATCAAACCCCATTTATTCAAGCAACGAACAAGGAAGTTATTGGAGTTCCGAAGCTTATTTTTTCTAGTCAACTGAATGCCTTTAGATAAACTAAAGCAGAAAAACAAAAATAATTTTTCTAATTGAGAGATTTTATCAAACAATTGGGTGACAATAAACACATAACGATACTTATAGAAAAATAAAAAATAAATAAAAAATCATTTGCAGAAGAGAACTTACTTGTGAACAATGAATGTAGAGAGAGAGAGAGAGAGAAGAAAGAAGAGAGAGGAGAGAAGAGATGAGATGTGTTGGCTAGCATTTTGATGTTTATTATGGTCATTTTATTTTAGGTTAAAATAAAGTTTCATTAAGTGTGTGCATTGAGGTAAATAGGTATGCAAAAATATAATTTCCCAATTGTTTGACCTCGTTGTTTTACATTCCTTATTGGGTTTTGAAATTACTATTTAGCACTACTTGGTGGAGTTGGTTCTTTGTTTTGTACTGTAGTAGAGAGCATATACTGAATATCTTTTAGATTGTGCTTACATTTATGTCCATTTAATTCATGGGTTATTATTCAAATTTGTAATGGCTGTAGTTGCCTCGTGTTTTTAGGATACATTGTGCTAATTGGATTACTTCATCAATTGGTCGAAACTCATTTTAGCTTAACTTTTCATGTCTTGTGAAATTGTGTTATTTTATGTTCAGCTTTTGTTACGAAGAATAACTGCTGTTTTATTTATATCCATTCACCTTCTGCAGATTTTCTGTGATTTGCAATTTAAAATTTGGCCGACGGGTGTACTATGGATAACAGTATTGTGTGTTTGGCCTTTTGGGGTGTGGGATCTTGTCTGCGGTAGTGGAATGGAAAAGAAGAAAACAGATGAGTATGAGGCGGTACCAGTTCCACCTGTGAGAGTAGACAGATTTGGATTTGTAAAGCAAGAACTTAGTAATTCTCCTGAAGGTATAGCCAAAAACAGATCAGCCTTTGAGCATGAGAGGTAATCATTTTGTATATTGTTAAACAAAATACTCTGCAGTGAGTTCCTTATTTAATAACCTTTTATACTTTATGTTTTATGATTTTTTGCCTATGTGCTCAAACTACAAATATATCTAAGCTAACATGGAAGGGTTGGTGTATTGTTATGACATTTCCTAATGACGGATGCCTTAATTTTAACATATGATGGTGAAACATTTTAACATAGTCACCTGCGAAGCTGGAAAATGGTTTATCAGAGAATTTTCAGCAATAAACTGGAGAGAGAAAGAGATATAGTGGACGTTAATGCCATTGGAGGCCTATCGAGAGTCCAGACTTGGTCGACAATGACACTTCCGTTGTGACCATAATTAACATAGTCACCTGCGAAGCTGGGTTTTAGCTTAGAAAATGAGCAAAAAATTGGGTTTAATTTGAGAGTTGTATGAGAAGTGTTTTGTGTTCCATGTGACTAAGAAACAAGGGTGTGCCACGTGACTCAGTTAGATCATTAGTCTAGAGAGAGAGAGAGAGAGAGAGAGAGAGTGAGTGTTTCATACTATGTGATCTAGGAGAGATTCAAAGAGAGAACTACTCTAGTAAGGACGGCTTTATACTGGCATTTTCAGCCAATCATGGATCCAAACAAGAGAGGCCTCTAACTTGATTTATTGGAGGTGAAGGAGGGGGAGATAGGCCTTGGTATGCTGGGGCTGACTTCAATGTGATCCTATATCTGTTTGAATGAAGGGTTGTTCTCGTATCTCAACAACCATGAGGGAATTCTGATTTTGTGAAAGTCAATGAGTTAATGGGTTTGCCATTGAAAGGGGCTATATATACATGGAGTAATGGTAGTAAAGTTCCTTCTCTCTCTCATTGATAATTTCCTTATCTCATCAATAACTTCTCCAATCTGGTTCTGGTTGCTTTCCCAATACAACTTTTTATTATATGGTCATCTCATTAGACTGCAGAGGAAGGCTAGGGTGTTGGGGGTTATCTCTGAAATTGATGTAAAGGGTGGTGAAAGAATCTCTCTCAAGAAGCTATGAGGAGGGAGGAGGCAAAGACAAGTTGAAGTATTTCTTTGATGGAGGAAATTAGTGGAGACAAAGGGTTGGATCCTTATGGTTGAAGGAAGGTGGGAACACCAAATTTTCTCACAAAATGGTCAATACTCACAGGTGGTACAATCATATTAGGAGCCTGGTGGTGAATGGGATTGAGAAGGGAGGTGGAGGAAATCACGTGGGGGTGGTCCACTTTTATGATCAGTTGTATATGGAGAACTGTTAAGGGAGGCCTCAGCTCGATTGTTTAGAATTTGCTTCTCTTTCCAATGCCCATAAGGATGAGTTGGAAAGACCTTTTTGTTAAGAGGAGATTGTGGCAACCCTCAAGGTTGGAATGGCAACAAAGCTCCTGGGCCTGATGGGATGGCTATGGCTTTCATTCTTGGTGGTTGGAGTATTATGATCTTTGTCCTAATACTTCCATGAGCATGACACTTTTGAGAAAAGTCTCAATGCAATAATAGTTGTACTAATTTTGAAGAAATCGGACAACAGAGCTGAATTACTTTAGATGTATTAGCCTTGTGGGGTGCATATACAAATTGGTGGCTAAGACATTGACTCTTAAGCTGAGGAAGGTGTTGGGATCAGTGATTTTGAATTCCCAAAATGCTTTTGTAAGTGGTAGCCAAATTTTGGATATTGTATTAATACATACCCAAAAAAGTATATGGCCCAAGTAGAACTTCCTGAGGTTTGTGATGGCCATAGTGCCTCCCTGCCTCGCCCTATGTCCACCATTGCTTGCCCTATTGACTTCTTGTTTTTGCAGCCTGGAAAGTATTCTTATCGCAGAATTTTCAGCAACTAACGAGGTGACCAATAGTTATATATTTTTGTTTTGGACAAAATAGTGTTCTTGCCTTTTGTTTAACTTGTTATTTATATGTTAAATTTAACTTACAACATTGAGATTGAAATATTCCACAAAGATCAACCCACTTACTAAATAAATTTCAGCCTCATTTTTCTTTAAGACCTAGCCAAAGATAATTTTCCTTATTTTTCATACGCAAGAGAAATTTTGTGTTTCTTCCTTGCATAAATGATGCCTTCATAGAGCTTTACTTTGTGGAAACTCTTATAATGTAGACATGCTTTGAATTCTGCCTATCTATTTATAAGTTTGCTTACATTCAAGTACCTGAATGAACTCATAAAACCTAGATGTCTTTCTTGTTCCAAGAATGGATTGTTTTGATTTCTAGGTTTTATTTGGATAGATGCTTTAAATTTCCTTATAGACTTATCTGTTTTGATAATGAGGCGCTTTTCAGGGAGGAACGGAGGATTAGAAAATGGAGGAAAATGATTGGGGTTGGAGGGAGTGATTGGAAACATTACATGAGAAGGAAACCTCATGTTGTTAAACGACGTATAAGAAAAGGAATTCCTGATTGTCTGAGGGGTCTTGTTTGGCAGTTAATCTCAGGAAGCCGTGACTTATTGCTGATGAACCCCGGGGTTTATGAGGTAATTTTTCTTCTTTTTCTCATCTAAAATTTTCCTCCCCTTTACTTCTTTTTTATGATGTGATTAGTGCTGATTGAGAATGATATATCTTCACTGCAATACTTGTGTGAGCATTACTGTGGTGAAGGTCAAACTCCCAATATGAGGTTCATAAGATTTTTGCCATTGTTTTTGTTTTTTGTTTTTTGTTTTTTGATAAGTTAGATAATTGTAGATTGATAGGGTGCCAAGGGGTTTCACCCCAGTACCCCAGTACATTAAAACCATACTTTCTTTTTTTTTTTTTTTATAATAAGTTGCGCATCAAAGATATGCACAAAAGAAACAACAAAAAAATACACTATTTGTGAAGATGGAACAAATTTTGGTTCCTTGTCTATCAGGTGGAACTATCATTGCATGTCACTTTGTACCACTCTGGCTTCTTATCTTTGCTGCAGTTTTCAAGGCTAAATGTTTGCAAGTAGCCAGCACTCTAGCTTTAGTGCATAATTGCCAAACATTTAGAACTACAGATTAAACTCTGTTTCACTGGAACCCAAACTACCATTTTTGCAAAATGTTAAGATCTATCAAGTAATTAATATATAGTGAGCAGCCAATAGCCATTCTTGTGACTTCCTCTTTACATTTACATACTTCTAATTTATTCTCCTCTAACCTGAATTCAAAATTTTCTTTTGTTTTATTTTTTTTGTTTTACCAAATATAAGGATCTTTGGAACACGTTCAACATAAGAATTTCTCTCATAATAAGTCTCTTTTAACTCCCAAGTTTCTATCTGATCAAAATGCTTTTCCAATCCTGAGAAGTACTAAATTTCATTCTTATGATGTAAAAGATTATCTTATTTGGTCACCAATTAAGTAACCTAGTTAGTACATTTCCAGATGACCTATAATATTGTCAGGTTTATTAAGGATGAATGTTGTTGAGTGTACTGAAAATATCAGTTATGTGTATGTCAGTCACATATTACTTTGTGAAGAATCTGAACTTGGAGGTCTTGTCAGCACGTGTTGAGATAGTGAAGTTGTGTGGGGTGTGATCTGAGTTAGTAATTAATACGTTTGAGGTTCTCTTTTCATTTTTATGTTTGTTTTTCATTCTATGCTTGATCCCCTCTTCATGTATTTATCTTTTATTATTGTTATTGTCATTATACTGATCCCACTGTTCCTTTGCTGCAGCAACTAGTAATATATGAGACGTCTGCTTCAGAACTGGATATTATTCGTGATATATCTCGTACCTTCCCTTCACATGTTTTCTTCCAGCGGAGACACGGGCCTGGTCAAAGGTCGCTTTACAATGTTCTGAAGGCATACTCCGTGTATGATAGGGATGTTGGATATGTTCAGGTTTTTATCTCATATGTCTCATCCTCATCACTCTCCTATATACTTTTATAGAATACAGAATTATATTGAAATTTTTTAACTACAGGGGATGGGATTTGTAGCTGGTCTATTGCTTCTCTATATGAGTGAAGAAGATGTATTTTGGTTATTGGTTGCATTACTGAAAGGAGCGGTCCATGCCCCAATGGAAGGTTTATATTTGGTAATTCTTCTGTCCAATCACCTTTAATTTTAGTCTTTGGGACTCATCTTAGCTTTTTAGCTCAAAGCTGTTAACAGCCTAGAACTTATTGTTATTTGATCAATGGAGTATATGTATATGTCAGAGTGTGAGAAACAATAGTATTTAGAAAAACAGAAATAGATAGATAAATAAATTTGATGAAGCCAATACATGGCTCTAACTAGTGTAGAACGGAAAAGAATGGTTTGTGCAGCTGGCTATGTTACATGGATTCAAATATGCGTACCCTTCAAACCTCCAATTGAAGGGTACGCAAAATTGGCAAAAAATGACCATAGTTTTTATATGTTAATCTTTTTTGGGGATAAAATGGTTTTCTGTGAAACATAGTGCCCAAAGTGGCACTTTACTCATTTGTAGCAACTATACAATAAAATATATATAATGACAGTGTTAAATACAATTATATAACAAGTGTATGATAGTATTGGACACAAATGCCACACTTCTATCCAGGTGTCAAGTGCCTAATACTGATATTTGATTTATTTTAAAGAGTCCATGGAACATAGGTAGCTGGTCTAATTCAGAAGTAGTCGATAGGAATAACATTTTTAACGAAGTATTAAGAAGAAGCACTGTTGTACTTAAAAATTTTTCATAAGCTATAAAACTGAGCTTCTTGTTGTTTCTTATTACTGATGTATGTTACTTTATAGTTTTGTTTTGTACCCTAGACGTGGATGATAGTTTTAATAGAAAATAATGCTCAGGAATCACTTTGGTGAGGCAATGAGGCTACCAGTCAAATTGCTGAAGCTGCTATTTCATCACAATGCAAAACACAGCCTTAGCATACTGGCTTATGTATGTACTATACTATCTTATAAATTGAGTTACCGATTATTTGAATTTCCTTAGAAAGGGATTAAAGACGTGTAAACTGGTATCATACGAATTCTTTTGATATCCAATCATTAGCTAAGGATTAAATTATGAATATACATATAGGATCATCAGCTACTGTGTGATTGGAAAATACTTTCTTGATTGAAGGAGGTTATCCCGCATGTTGAAGTATCTTTCTTACACCAATCTTGGAACTTAAACTGTTATGGAATAACCATTGTTTTTGATTGTTGGATTTGTGGATTTTTGTCCCCAACCATATTATTTGTAACTTTTAAGGGTAATCCTTGCAGAAGGATTGAATGTTAAGAGCTTCGTTGTACATTTTTGTGCACGGCCTTTTACTATTTTGTAGGTCTAGCTGGAAACAAGCATGTTTTCGACATTTGATCAGAGCATAACTAATAACTAACATTCTCTTCTAGTACTGATTCTTAGGGAATCATTGCTTCTCTCTCTCTCTCTCTCTCTCTCTCTCTCTCCATGGTTGTGTTGTGTGTATGTGTGTGCATGTGTAGAGCAGTGAGGTGGTAGTTGTTGAAAACATCCAAATTTTTTTCTTTGATCTGGAAAATAAGCCACCAAAATAATATATAGGAATTTTCTTTTTACATGCGTCTTTTTTGGTCATTCCTCATTTTACATATTGGATGGTGTTTTCTTATTCAAGAGTCCTTTTATAGCTGTCAAAGTGGCTTTTAACTCATTATCAAATCAAAGGCTCTTATTTACTGTTTGTGACCATTATTATATACATTGCAGAACTCTGAAAACTATTTTCTTATTCTTCCGGATTAGGTGGGGTTGCCTTTGGTTCAGCAATATCTTTTTCAGTTTGACAGTTTAGTAAGAGAGCACATGCCAAAGCTTGGAGAGCATTTTACCCAAGAAATGATAAACCCTAGCATGTATGCAAGCCAGTGGTTCATAACAGTTTTCTCCTACTCTTTCCCATTCCATTTGGCTCTTCGAATTTGGGACGTCTTTCTTCATGAGGTTAGTGATCTTAATTATCAATGTCTTCTACTTGGAAGTACTGCCACTTGGTTTGGAAATTGATATATTTCTTTTGGTCCAGGGTGTTAAAATCATTTTTAAAGTCGGTTTGGCCCTACTGAAATATTGCCATGGTGATTTAGTAAGTATTTTTAAGATTGCATGTCTGCATTAGATCCTAATAAATTGCATCTTGCGTATATAAAGGTTTGTTTTTGTTGTTTAGATAAAATTTCCCTTCGAGAAACTCGTACATGCTCTGCGTAATTTCCCTGAAGATGCAATGAACCCGGATACTCTATTACCCATGGCCTATTCAATCAAGGTTCTCTCTCACGCATATATAAAGATGTTTTTGGCATTACTTTTTTTATTATTAGTTATTTTCCTACCATACTAATTATTAGATTCTTTCTCAATCCACTTAAAGTTCAAGTACTTCTCGTTTACTGGGTTTTCAAGTTGACTCATTAGTAGTTTTGTGCTTTTGGAATCTTTTTGCCACTTTTGTATTTCTGTTTTAGTTATTCATTGTTTTTATTTTGATAATTATTGGTTAACTAACAGGTATCGAAGCGTTTGGAGGAACTGAAGCTGGAATATGAGAAGAAAAATGGGAAGCAAGCAGAAGCCGGTGGGAGGCAGAAACAGCCGACTCCCAAAACACATTAAAAGATGCTTCACGGTTGAGACGAGCTAAACCTGCCAGTGATTCTTTTATTCTGGTGTCAACAACATTATCTGTGCCAATGTATATAACACTTGGGCAGTATTATCGACCAATATAGATAGGTATGACACATTTAATAGCTTTATATATATAGTTGCTTGATTGAGTTGAGTTTTTAGGTTTATCTTTCACTCTCTTGTGCTCGAATCTAAGATCATATTTGAAAGTTTTTTGTGGAACAAAGTGTGTATGGTGGCAATGTAGCATCCACTCACAACTGATAAGAGGGAATCTTTTGGGTGGACCACAAAGAAAGAAAATTGAGAGACGGTGCGAGTTTTCTTCCCATACACTAGCAATATTTGTGTTTTTTTGAACACCTCTGTCCAAGAATCAGATTCTTTTCTAGAGTTTAACCTAGTGATGTGCTTCTTTATTTCCCTAGGCCTTTATGATTGAGATCCTTAGTTAATCATTAATGTGATTGTTATCACATAGTAGAGTTACCCGTAAATCATCTGTTGTAGATTGAATTGTCCCTTTTTTAGTTGAGTCTGAAACATGTGGCAACCATTGGCGATCCCGATATGTTTCAAGGGGTGTTTGCATTTAAAGATGACAACCATGTATATTTGTATCTATAGATCCAAACGTCCACTTGCCCCTTTTGTAGCTGAGTCAGCAACAGTGGCAGCCGTGCGCGATCCAGATAAGATTGAAGGAGGGTTAGATGCTTAGAAGTTTACAAAATGATTAATCTATTGAATTATTTCAAACATGTCTTCCTCGTTCGATAGATGGTAGGTCTAAAGGATCCAACATTGTTAGTGTGGACCATGTCATCATGATTTTATGTTGATATGGCGTTCTTATCGTCCCCATAATATGGGTTAGGATGATATTGTTTTATGTCAACTCCAGCACATGCTTGCTCAGATACGTGGGTGCTACACTATTATGTCGAAGTTTTTTTAATGCATTATTATGGTGAAAAAAAAGTTTGTCAGTGGCTAGAACCATGTACCTCTATTTAGGGTATTTTTTGACTTTTTACAAAAAAAAAAATACGTAATAAAATATTATAACAAATATCAAAATTACGGGATTGTCTTCCTTGACACATGCAACAGCACTGAGCTGTCATGTTGTGCATTTCAAAATTATATTATTATTATTTTTTTTTTAATGAGAATTGTGGCTTACATTGACATAAGTGGGGAAACGACCCGCTGGAGAAAGGACAATGATCCTAATGCCGGATTTCAATGTGTCCCTTTTTTTTTTTGTTTTTTTTTTTTTGGGGGAAGGAAATGCAAAGCAACACTGAGTTGCTATCATTGACTTTTTTTTCACCCAGACTTCCCACCCAAAAACTCTAAATAGTATGATTTTTTTTTGTTTTTTTAATGGCTTTTGGATTTTTTAACTTTTATAGGTGATGCCAAACATCTCCCTACTCTCCTAGATAGTGAAAAAGAAAAAAAGAGAGAGTTATTTTCAATTGAATTAATTTGATATGTATATAATTTTCTTTTCGAAATGGTCTTGAATAGAGTTGAGTGGAAAAGAAGGATTTATGCAGTCGATTCCATTTAATCTGATGGGATTTATGGCTTGATTTGGTTATGTAATCTTCTTGAGATTTCTTGGATGTTGATGGAGAGGATGAAATTTGGTATAGGAAGCTACTCAACTTTAAAATGGGCAGAAAGTTGCAAAAGATTAAAGAATGGTTAGATAAATTTCATTTAAACGCTTGTTGGAACAAATGGCATTTGTTATGTGAATCCATGTAGGTGTATAAGTGTAAAATCGGGGATAAAATTTAGCTAGTTGTAAATATCATTTCTATGTTAACCTAATTTCATGGTCATTTCTCTTGAATAAACGCCTTCAATGGGATCTGGTGTTATAATACTACCTTGGTAGAAAAAATAGAAATAATTTTTTTAAATTAAAAAATGTCATTGGTTTTACATAGTCATTTCAGTGAGATTGCATAGTTTATGCTTCATAAAAAAATTTAAAATTTCTGATAACTAGTGCTTTAAGAATATAATTTAAAATGATTATATACTTTTTGACACATTTTTATGAATATTGTATAATTGTTTTAAGTTTATTAACAAGTACTCTTAAGGTACTTGTTAATTAACAATTCAAAATATAAAATAAATTGTTATAAAATTATTAACAATTGCTAATTTAATTATTCGGACATCAAATATTAAAACAATTGAATTTTGTTGAACAATCATTTTGAATAATTAAATTTTGTTCGATAATTAATTTTCGAACAGAAAAATAATGTGACCTTGTACAGGGTCCAAGTCAGGAAGGTGGGCTGTGTCCAAGTCAGGACAGAACCAGGCAAAGACAAGAAAGTGATTGGAAAATGACTAGAAACAACCAAAAGAGTTGATGATGAAATCCCAACTCAATAATGAGATTCTTCACATATATTATGGGGGTAATTGTGGATTAATGGCACAATTTAAAAATAATTGCATTGCACATACATTTTAGGTATAAATTTGACACTCAGAAAAGATTTGTATCATGCACAAAAATGACTTACATTCTATGAATATGAAATTTTTTTTTCACGCCTCATTTATTGATTTGTGATTTCTCCTATATTATGGACTTGAAAAATGCTTGAGAGCACTAAAAAGAGATCACTAAAAGGAGCATTAATGATGTGGCAGTGGGCCCCGCCCACTTTCTATGCCTTGTTTTTATTTTTTTTTATTTTTTTTGCCATTCCCAATATATTAGTGCTATTAGTGATATATTTTTTAGTGGTCTAAATTATTGTTGTATAGATTTATATACTGTGCAATAGGATACAAATATGATCAAATCAAATAACTATCAATATTTAATTAAAATAATTTTTTTACAAAAATAATATATTAAATAAATTTTATATATTAAACAGTTTGAATCATAAAAATGAGTTCGAATCAGGACCCTAGTGCTATTAGTGATATATTTTTTAGTGGTCTAAATCATTGTTGTTTTTTTTACAAAAATAATATATTAAATAAATTTTATATATTAAACAGTTTGAATCATAAAAATGAGTTCGAATCAGGACCCACTATGACCCAACAAAGCCCTCAACTCCAATTGCAAATGGGAGAGGCTGTCCTATTAAAAAATATGTAACAAAAAAAATATAATAATGTGCACGGAAAAAATTTTCTAAAAGAAAAAGTAAAAACGTTTATATAATTTTTTTTTTTCTTTTCAACCTACAAATGCAATATAAATGTCCTTCCAAATCTAGGCCTAGGTTGGATTCAGGCCATATAATATTTCATATTACTTTCCAAAATAAAAATATAAAAATGATGAATCTTATAAAAATAATTCTAGTCACATTAACCATCTTATTAAAAATATAAGAGGTTGTACGAGCACGAAATAATCTTTTCGTATAATTATGTTGATCAAATTTACACTCTTCTAACGTCGTCGCTTTACTTCCTGAAAACACAAACGTGAGCTAACTGGCGGGTGTGTGCCGGATACCTCTCCGATGCTATAGACAAAAAGCTCTATGTTTTTTAGAGTCGAAATTGTGATACCTGTATATAGGTCCTATCATGAGCTTTTGTAGATTCTGCTTAGCACAATCCTAGTAAGACTTCAACTCTCTTTTGTAAAGTCCTTTTAGGAATCACACTCTTAGTAAAGAGTGTCTATCCTGATAACACTTTACTTACTACCAACCAAGTAAGATGGTTATCTCTTTTGTCTAAGCTGGTGCAACCTAACCGAGCTAGATTATTTCGGTCATGCTCTCACCTAAGCAATGGTGTAGATGGTATTCAACCGAGCTACACTCAGCTTGGCCTTCTTTCTTACAAACACCTCGGCCAGCCACTAAGTTTAGTTTTTAGGTAGCTCGGTCAAACCCCTCTGCCTAGTTTGGTACCTAGACAACATGGGACCGAGCTACTCGAAGTCCATACCCCGGCCCTTAGTCCGACCCAAAACAGAGATTAAAGGATCGTAGCTCGGCCTAATTTTTCTTTATAAATTACCCTCTTTGAGGTCAAATGTGATTAGTTATTACAAAAATAATGATATTTAAACACCCAGTGATATTTGCACATGTATATTTAATAGAATTGTTAGTAAAATAATACTATATGTACCAATTAATGTACTAACTAATGCACCAATTGATGATGTGACATAATTTAAGAGATTTTTGAAATTTGTAATGCAATTAATGAGTGGGGTCAATAATAATATTATAACTAGTATTGGTACATTAATTGGTGCATGTAGTACCACCGTTGTTAGTAAGAGGTTAATTAGACGTAACATTGCTCATCTTATTAAATATTTTTAAAAAAATATTTAAGACCCACAAAAAAGTTACCTACAACAATGTGGTTTTACATGTGTCAATTCTTAATTTGTTATATATCTCAGCGTGTTGCCACATCATTATAGGAGAATTTATGAGTTAAAGTTGTGATTTATACATATATTTCACATTAATTACTTATGACCCATTTTACATTACTTTCCAAAATAACAATACAAAAGTGATGAATTGCATTAATTGCATTAAATATTAAATGACCCATTTTACATTATTTTTCAAAATAAAAATACAAAAATGATGAATATTATGATTAAATCTATAACTACGGAATTTTATCATACTCTGAATCCCAAATTTCAATTGGAGAATGACTCATTCCCATATTACTATTCTCTATATTTGTTTATATTTGATTTTGTAAGTTTCACTCTAAATCCACACTGACAGTATTACATTAAACAAATTATTAAATATTTTTAAAATAATATTTCACACTAATTATTGAGTGACATATTTCATGTTGTTTTTCTAAAATAACAATATAAAAGTGGTAGAATGTTATTATTAATAACCATCAAATAAAAAAAAAAGTATAAATAAAAATGAGTTTATTTATAAGAATAGTATTACTAGTACATTTTTGAACAATTTTTTATAAGAATAGAATTTTGAATAATGCTAAATGCATTAATTAGTGTACACAATAGTGTACCAACAGATGATGTGACATAATTTTAAAGGTTTTGAGTATTTGTAATTTGTATAATAAATAAGGTCATTAATGATGTCATAACACTAATTGATACATTAGTATGTACACTAATTGGTGCATGTAGTATTACTGTAAAAATTTTCTTATAAATTTAATATTTTTTTCTAAATAATAACCTAATTATTGTTAACCTAATTTGAAACAACCATTGGTGAATAATATTCTCTTTTGGTTAAAATAACAAAATAAAACAGTGATTTCCCTTACTTTAGCCGAGAATTTGGTAAAAAAAATTAATAAAAATAAAAACTCAATTAATGGACTAATGAAATAGTGGTCAATCGCATGGGCCCAAACTTCGGGCCCACGAACTTTCCAAGAAAAACGAAGCGTACAGCTAAGAGGGTACGACTGTAAATATCTCCAAATCACCACCGTTCATTGCTTCTCCCCCGTATATATATATACATGCGTTTCGCGATCTTCTGAAAGCTGCCTCTCTGTCTCTCTCTCTCTCAATTTTAATCTGCTTGCAAGGGTTTGTTGGGAAGGCAATTAGAATTAGGGTTTGTGCGGATAGATCTTGAATCACATCTATATAATACCTGTATGGTTTCATAATCCTTCTTTTTTATGCTTTTTTTTTTTCCTTCTGATTTTGTGGTGTTATCATTGTCTGAATGTTCTGATGTTAAGGGGTTTTGTTTCCTTTGATTTCTAGGGTTTGCTTAATCCAATTTTCGAAAGGAACGTGTCTTGGTATCAGACCTGTTGTTGGAAGATTTCTATAAAGTGTAATATCTGTAAGTATGGTTCTTTATCTTGTTTTTGTTCCAATTATAAATGGGATTTGTGTCCAATTGTAGATTTGAATTTTTTTAGACGGTTTAATGATGAATGAGTAAGATGGGTTTGATTTTAAAATATATTTAACAGTTAGTTATTGGAGTTTTTAGCGGCTAATAATTTTATGGTGGGACAAAGTTGTGTGTTTTATGTATCAAACTATTTATATCATAGATGGTATAGGTTCATATATGTTTGGTTGTGTGTGATTTATATTCATGAGGGATATAGGCCTGTCTTTGTTGTGATCTGTGTACATGCGATTATTCTTGTAATTGTTTCATTCAGATTTTATAATTACAATTTTTCCCATTATTGTTTGTTTTATCTTGATGTTCAACCTGTCATGAAGTTTGTGGAAATTTTATTTTGTAACTTCAATTAATATTGGTAGAAGCTATTTTCTTTCTTTTGGGTAGTGCGAGATCTGTTTATGTTGAAACAAATCGGTGAATGAATTATTGGATGGGTAGTTTTATTTAGGCTCTTGGGTTGTCATTGGTTAAGGATAAAAGCTGGCTATGGATTTCATGAATGCTGTTTTGATGTTGATTATAATAACTTAGTTGAGTTTGTTGCATCTTGTGATTTGAGTAATATGATTGTTGAATTATCTATCTATTTGTTTTATGACGATAAATGATTGTTTGTGCATGCTCTTTTTGTATCTTATATGCCATTTTAATTTGTTGGGCACAAATGAAATTGTTGTATTTGGTGCCCTCTACAAATTGTATTGCAGAAAATATTTATCAAGTTTTCTGTTTTTTTATTCTTCCAACCCATTCTCTTTAGTTCATGCAATTTATTTCAATATGTATTTCTTTCTGGTTTTGTTTGATTTATATTCCTTTATGCAGTGTTGTAATTTTATGTTTTGCTAATATTTTGCCAGTACCTCTGTTTTCTTGTTATCTATATTTTTAAGTGCATTAACTCTTTGAAGTTGGTTCTGATTTTGCTTTTGATGTCTTTTGCAGGACTGAATGATCTAATGGAGTCTAAAGGTGGGAAAAAGAAGTCTAGCAGTAGTAGTAAATCCATGTTTTATGAAGCTCCTCTAGGTTACAGCATTGAAGACGTTCGACCCAACGGTGGAATCAAGAAGTTCAGATCTGCTGCTTACTCCAACGTGAGTTCAACTGTAACTTCTTTCCCACTGCATCATGTACTTTATACAATTGTAAAATGCCACCTATATCTAACACAACATATGATCTTTGCAGTGCGCCCGGAAGCCATCCTGAGATTTCCCGAATTGAGAAATAAGCAACCAGAAGTTGCCAATACCTCAGTTATTTGTTATTGTTTTTATTTCTTTTCTCCTTTAGTGTCTTCTGTTCTGTTCTTGCTTCACTACAGCATTTCTCTACTCACTTTACAACAGCATTTAGTTCTCTTAAGGCAAGATGGCCCTGCCAGTTTCTGCAATTGGTTTTGAAGGATATGAAAAAAGACTTGAGATATCTTTCTTTGAGCCTGGGATTTTTTCTGACCCTGAAGGCAAGGGCCTTCGCTCTCTATCCAAATCCCAGTTGGATGAAATTTTAACACCCGCTGAATGCACCATTGTCAGTTCATTGTTGAATGATGAAGTTGACTCTTACGTCCTTTCTGAGTCTAGCCTCTTTGTGTACCCTTATAAGATTATCATTAAAACTTGTGGAACTACAAAATTGCTTAATTCAATCCCATCCATCCTCAAGTTTGCTGATATGCTCTCCCTCTCTGTGAGATCTGTGAGGTACACTCGTGGATGCTTTATTTTTCCTAGAGCTCAGCCTTTCCCTCATCGCAACTTCTCGGAAGAGGTAGCTGTCCTCAACAATTATTTTGGCAAGCTTGGTTCGGGCAGCAAGGCTTATGTGATGGGTAGTGATGATAAATCACAGAAATGGCATGTTTACTCTGCTTCGGCTGAATCGATGAATCATTCGTACCCAATTTACACTCTAGAAATGTGCATGACCGGATTGGACAAGAATGCGGCATCTGTATTTTACAAGACTCATGGAAGCTCTGCTGCGGCGATGACTGATGTATCTGGTATTAGGATGATTTTTCCTGATTCTGAGATATGTGACTTTGAATTTGATCCTTGTGGGTACTCCATGAATGCTATTGAAGGGGCTGCAATTTCTACTATTCATGTCACACCGGAAGATGGGTTCAGCTACGCTAGCTTTGAAGCAGTGGGATATGATTTCCGATTTTTGAATTTGAATCACCTGCTCGAGAGGGTCTTGGCTTGCTTCAAGCCAACTGAGTTCTCCATTGCTATACATTCTGATGTTGTCGGTAATGATCTTGGTTCCGATATCAGTCTTGATGTGAATGGATATTTCTGCGGAGAAAAGAGCCATGAGGCCCTTGGCAAGGGAGGGTCTATTGTTTACCACAGATGCATGAAGGCTGGTGGCTGTGGGTCTCCCAGGTCAACTCTGCATTGCTGTTGGAGTGAGAACGAGGATGACGAGAAAGTCAGAAAGAAATAATATTGGACCAGATGTTGTGGGTTTTCTCCTTTAATTGATTGTCTTGTTGGTTTGAGAGTATTCACTTCGCTCCATTAAAGAGAGATAGTAGGTTCATTCACTTTTCTCCATTAAAGAGCTTTATTAGGTTCATGTTTTACTGCTCGTATTTGCATTGCTCGATTTCTTAGTTTTTAGGTTCATGTTTTACTGCTTTTGCAGCAGTCTTTAATTGTCAGTGTGGTTAGTAGTTTCAAATGGCTGAGGTGTTGGAACTTTCAATTTGTTGTTTAGATGCATTCTATATAATAAATTTTACTTTAGCAGATATGTTTCTTTTGTTGATGGTGATTTGATGATGAAATAGTTCTATGGTTTATTATAAGCTTGAAGATTGCATGTATGATGCTTTTGATTTCATGATGCCGATTGTTATTATTGGACAAATTTGGATTTTCTGAAATAGCCTAGAAACCAATTTTCTATGAATGTTTGGTTCGCTAGATAGAATGAAGATGGATTGGAATAAAATGATTATTCTTTAGTTTCCTTCTAGAATAATCAATTTATAATATATGTTTTATTTATAATATATATTTTTTCTTAATTTTTTTTTAAGTGAATCAAATATTATAATGAATATTTTGATGAAATTATCATTTTACTAAATTTGTTGATGGTGATTTGATGATGAAATAGTTCTATGGTTTATTTTTTCTTAATTTTTTTTTAAGTGAATCAAATATTATAATGAATATTTTGATGAAATTATCATTTTACTAAAATCATTCCAATGAAATTATCTTCTGTTTGTTTTTGTTTTTGTTTTTGTTTTGGTTTTGGTTTAGCTTTCGGGGTAAGGGGGGCTGTGTTACTTTGTGAGCACTCATGGCTTTTTAAGTTTTATAAGCGTTTTTGGTCTTTTTGAAAGAAAACAAGTTGGCCAATTCATTCAGGTCCTACATCCGATTAAAGACAGACTGGACAGGAGCCATGCAAAGGTGGAAGGTCTGTTACGTTCCTTTGGGACCTTGTCTAATTGTCTGGGAAAATAATTAAAAAGGTGGAAGGTCTGTTACGTTCCTTTGGGCCTCTGTCTAATTGTCTGGGAAAATAATTGGTAAATTCCAGTTGGAAAAAGGCAAAGTCTCAATCAATCCTGCCAAATTTGACTATATGGAAATGGAATTTTTCAGCATTGGAAAAAAAGGAAAAAAGATAAGCCACCTTTTCAATTAGTCCTCGTTTGAGAACAAACTTTTTTAATAACTATTTAATTTTTTGATTAAAATGTGATGTAAAAAAAATTAGTACGTTTGGAATAATTTTTTAAATTTTTACAAAAAGATATGCAAAAGTAGAGAGGAAAGAGAATTTTTAACTTTTTAGTATGAATTATTAATTTTTTAATTTTTTTAATAACTTTTTCACTAAAAAAAGTCACTTGTCCCACTAGATCAACAGTATATAGCTGTTCCCACATGTGCAAGACTGGAAAATGAGTTGTCTTCACACATAATAAAACAATAAAAAAAAATACATAGGAATCTTCAATCAGAATCAAATTAAAATTGTATAGTTTTTTTTGTTTGCCATTACCCATTAATGGGTGAAATTGTTCACTAAACTTTACCAGAAAGAGGCACATGCATCGCACAATAAATCATTGTGTGCACTGATTTTTCTCGTCTTTCCTACAATCAAAGGCAGGGAGGGAGGGAAGGACAATTCTAGCAATTGAAATAGGGATGAGATATTTCGGCGGTTGATCTTTCTTTCTAAATTGTCGGCTGCACTCAGTAGGGCTGGAACTTTCTTGCAGCTCTCAACTACTTTATCTGCTTTCTATCCCGTTCAAATTTACTTTGCAGCGCCATAATCTCTGCAAGGAATCAAGTGCTAAGATGATATAATGGCTAAGAAGAACAATAAACAAGGACATCAAACAAGTACCTTTTAAAACTAATTGGTATACCAACTAATGTACTAACATACCTTATGTCATTATTACAGACTCTACATATGATAATACAAATTATAAATACTCAAAACTTTTAAAATTATGTCACATCATCTATTAGTACACTAATTGATATATCAATTGGTGCATAGAGTCAAATTAAAATAAATGAAGATTCACTTATGTCCCCAATATCCTAGAATTAATAATTGTGCCCTAGAGCAAATTCCAAAGATAGCACCATTGATGTGGCCGTTTTTTCAACAACTTAACAAGGTTATATTCCTAATTGTATATCAATAATTCATTACTCAAATGTTTAGCCTTTTTTCTATTGGAAAAGCAATAAGCAATTTATAGCGAGAGGACATGCTAAAATGTGGAAAGGCAGACGTTTGAGAGTTCTGATAAATCTTACCGCTATTTCCTTTGCCTCTAAAACCTTCAGCCTAAGCCTTCTAGTAAAATTTAGTGCTTACAACGAAGTTCCACACTTCGGAGTATCTTAGAAACTTGACATAAGAATTTCTATTGCAATGCATACAAGCGAAATTGAGAGACAACATACCATTTCTCTAGGCCTCTCTTTTCTGAAACCGGTAGAAATCTAACCCGACTTCTTTACATTTCTTCTTGGTCATATTTTCCAGAACAGTTGCTGGGCAACCGAACCCACAGTAATTCCACTTTCCAACAGTCCATCCTCCTTCAGCAGCAGGGGCTTCTCTTCCTTTTCTTGCCTGCAAATGAACATAATATATTGAAGTAGAGAACAGTAAGATCAGCTGCAAAATTCACTAAGACTCTGTTTGGATCATGGATTCGGATAGCGATTTGGAAAGGAAAATGGAGAAAGAATTTAGCTCGTCTTTCATTCACGTTTCCCTCCCCTTTTTTCTTTCATTTTCCAAAGCCTTACTCAATTCCATGATCCAAACACAGCTTAACGGGAATAGGACAAGTTCTAGTGATACAAAAACAAATAGGACACCACAATGTGTGCTTGTGCATGTGTGTTGTTTACATGTGGGAGATAAATTGATTCATGTATACATTGATCAAATTTTAGTGACACACAAGATGCTCTTCTGCCACTATACACGCTGACATTTTTATATGCTTAAAATACCAAACTATGAGCAGAAATGATAGATGCTTAATTACTTAAATACATGACATCAATGTGCATAAAAATAAAAGCGACACGTGAATGCAGCTAGACAAGACAACTAGGACAAACCAAAATAATATGTTCAGACATAATGAGAAGTCATCGGTGTGCTCACACTGTTTCAACACTTTATGGACAATGAAAATCATCAGAGGCTGCAATGACAAAAGAGGCCAAGAAAGGAAAAAATTCCTGCTCCTCTTGTGCCTCGTAATCAGTTATAAAATCATCAATCCTTTGCTGCAATATCCTCAACCCTGGTCGGTATTTTGTAATCCATCATGTAATCCTAGAAACTCTCACTAAAGTTCTTATCAAGAAAAAGAACTCTCACCAAGCAAGCTAAAAGCCTTGGCATGCAATCAATTAAATATTTCATTTATAAATTCAGGAAGAACAGACTATAGTATGCAAGTTTATTTCTCTTAAATAACAAAAAACAAGTTTTAGAGCATTTAGTAAAGAGAAGATTGATTTATTGAAGAGCCGACAAGAGGCCTTAAATCTTACTGAGAAAATTGATATTGACTAATACAATAGATGCAATCCTAGATTAAGAAGAATGAAGAAAGTGGATTTCTGAATAGAATGAACCCTTGTAGTTCTATAGTAAGAGTGAAAATCACACAAATGTTTAGACAAACTCATGAGTCATATTAATGCCAATAAATCAAGAACTGTCTACAAAAGATGATTTCCACAGGTGAAAGACGTGCATTCCAATATAGCTATAATTCATACTTCCCTTTCCTCTAGAGCAATCCTCATCGCCTGAAGATAACTCGCAAGCCTTGTTTTGTTCAGGTTCTCCACACTTGCCCAGTGATTTCTCTTCTTTCCTTAGTGATGGGTGGTCGTTATACTGTTACAATCATTTTTTGACTTACATACAGCAAAGAAAGACCCAATGAGGTCATACCACAAATATTACAATCGCAACATAATCTTGAATACATCTGTAAATTATCGTCTTTATTCACGAGTTCTAGAGTTGGGGCGGGGGTGCCCAGAATTAGGAAGCTATATTTATTGTCATAACCAAACCTCGAAAGTAATCAAAACAAAAACAAAGCACTAAGAAATTTAGCATGATGATGTAGTTCTGCAGAAATCCTAGAGAACTAATTTCAAGAAAAAGAAAAACACAGGTACATGCTATTACAAAAGGGGATTGATAGAATCGTCATGCAGATTTAAGATTTAACAGAACTAAAATCAAGAAAAAGAAAAAGAAATTTTCTAGATGAAAATATTAAAAATGATCTTTTTTGTTTGTTTGTTTGTTTGTAGTAAAGATATTTCCAACAATGAAATTTAATTATTTTTTGTCAATTGAATAAAAATCCACCAAAAGCATCATTTGACACACAACCCATGTATGCTCAGCATATACAAAGGGGAAAAAAGAAGACGTCAGAATAGATGTCAACCTATAAAACTCCTATCATGTGAAACAATACACAAAATTATTTGAAGAAATCATTTCTCGTTAACCAAAAATGAAGGAGCTCGATATAAGTGCTGCCGCTTCATAACTGAGACCCCCACCACACCAAAGGTTTACCTTACTGTGCTACTTCAGATGAAACACCACAGAAGCGGGTAGAAAAGTTAAAATCACTCTAACTCTCCTACTTTCATGTCCAAGGTGCCCAGCACATCAATCATTGATCCAAATTCCAGGTAGAGAGAGTCCAATGCAAGTGATGCAAAGAAAGGAGAATAACCCATAATTCTCTTCCAACCAGAGAATTGATAGATGATTCACTGTCACCTCAAATTCATTGAACAAAGAACAACAATTAGATAGGACTTTGCCTCTACACCCACATGAACAATGGTTGAAATTATTTTAAATGTTGCAGTCCAACCAGAAAAAGTCCCCAAAGGAAGCTAAAGACTACTCCCCATTCACTACAAATCAGATGAGATAAACAAGTCAGTATCTACCTCAGAGGTACCTGCTTATTCCTAACAGATGGATAACAGTCGTAAGCAACTTACAATAACAGGGGAAACATTCAAATAAGAGAATTTCAAACGAAGATAGAGTCATATAACAAGTAGGTTGGGGGCTTCCATTGACAATACTTTCATTTCAAACCATCATATCTAATTCTTTGTTTCATGAATTTTATCATACCACTCTCCTCTCTAGAGCCATCTTCAACTTCATTATGGATCAAACCAACTTTGTCG